TGTATGCGTTAAATATCAACAGTATGTATTTAATTTGCGACAGAAGTCGAGTCCATCACAAAGAGAGTATGATGAAAGCATTGAAAAAAGCGAAATATAAATCGGTATTGGATATCTATTTCATGTCAACAGCTTCTGCTAAATACCTATCACCATTAGATAATCCTCTTTGGCATTCCATCAAGGAAGTTATTCGAAGCCATCATCCGCTTACAACAAGTAATCTTCCAACGCTACTCTCAGAGACTTTTCTTTCGCTATCGAAAAATAAAATCACAAGCGCATTTCGAAAATGTGCTGTTACATATGGAGTCGATGTTTTTTATGATAAACCATTTTGATGTGAATACATTTTCTTTTAATATAATTCAGATGCAATAGCAAACGTAGTGAAAAAAATGCTAATTTTTGTTTTGATGCGGTTTTCTCGTTTCGATTTCTATCTGATCCATGATTGTCTTAGATCAAAAGATGCAGTCGAGTCTACTCTTTCTTTCTATGGGTTTGGTTTTGCAAAAAGAACAGAAAATAGTGAAATAAAGTGAAAAATACTAATAGAGGAAAACCTATTGAGGCGCACAGTAATAGAATTGGAATACAGTCAAAAGGAACGCTTATCTCATCAAATCCTTCGAACCTTATCTATAGTTTGTTCACTAAATCTCCAGTGCTAAAAAGATACCTTTTTGAGTCGAAAAATGACGGAAAAAATCATGAAAAAAAAACTTTCCTTAACTAATATCTTAATGCGACTAATGTGCCTCATTGTCGTTATTTTAGCGAACATCATCATAATGATTGGAATGAGTTGACAACATGTAAATTTAAAAATATTTTATTAGAAGAATGTGGTAAAATTATTGGACGAAATTTGATAGAGATTTTACATTTTAAAGACATCAATGAAAAAGCTATAGCATCATCTACTAACGATGATTATGGAAGTTCATTTACGCGTCGTGAAGCCAATCAAATACGCGATAATCTTTATACAGTACTGACACAAGTATATACCCATGTCTGGTTTACAATTACGCAAGATCCATTTCATTCTGTTGAAGAATTATCAATAGCTAAGAAAAATGTCGTAAAACCTCAGGCTCCACCTAGCTATCGTGCCTACTGTCGATTTGGATCTATGCGTTCTTATTCAACATTCTATTCACATGGGCCACAAGATCGTGAATTAAGAGAGATTAAAATAACAACAACAACCATAAATGGGGCAAAAATACCATTAGCAATTAGAATTCATTTAGCGAACTCGATTACGATCGGTATTCCACTAGAATCAATTGATCGGCAAAAGATTTTGATCAACGCTTCGAATATTGCCGACCGTAATGAGGAGATTCAAGTTGTACTCATGCTCAAATATGCAGTGGCAATTCATCAGGATCGTCAACAGCAACAATATGGAAAAGATCAACGGTAAGAGACAACAAAATTTCAAAATGTTTGTATTCGGAATGGAAACGTGTCTAGATATACTGTGCGCCATTGTTCGATACGACCCGATCTACGAAATAATGTATATCAATATTACTTGTTGTAATATAATTTAGTGAAGTTCATAGTAATCATATGCACACAACAATCATTGATCTTTTATTTCTAAAATCGAAGCGTTCGATTTTTGCATTTGCAGTGTTCAACATATGTTCACAAGAACAAAAAGTAAAAGGACGAAAGTGACTGAATAGTGAAAAGGGAAAAGTGAACAATACGAAGAAAAAAGAAAGGACTGAATCCCCAGTCAGTCAAACCCAGTCAGTCAAAGTCATTCCAGAAAAGCGCAGGAAACTCTGTGAACGAAAAATTTTACGCGTTTAGGAATTTCGAATAATAACGCGCAAGAAGCAAAAGATTGAGCTCATAACTCGCTATTTTGACTGACGAGGGAACCCCTCGAAGTGATTAAAAGCTTTTAGACTCAGACTATTTTCATCATATAGGGAATAGTCAGTAGTGAAAAACCCCGAGTCGGTTTGGGCCCATGCGCCTTTTTTGACGGAGATATGAGTTAATTAATGAAAATGCCATTAATAATAATTAATTAATAGCTCACGACCATGATCAGCTAGGAGTCGGAAATTTACACCACAATTGAAGATAGATGTTGTCTACTCAG